GAAGAAGAAGAAGAAGAAGAAGAAGAAGAAGAAGAAGAAGAAGAAGAAGAGGCACCTACCTATTAATAGCAAACAAAGCTCATACCAGGGAGAAAACTTTGCACAGAGGAATTGGATCCTGAACTTGTGACTCGTGACTCTCAGAGCTCAAAGAACACGTGCAGGAACCCAGAACCGTCCTTCCGCCCCACCCCTCTCCCCAGTTTCTCCGCGTCCGGGGGTCCACCTCCAAGAAGGCTCCCTTCTCGCCCCACCCTCCGTCCAATCCTGTCTCTCCTAGAGTTCCAGTGGCCAATCAGGAGGTGGCCGTCCCGAGGGGCGGGGGGCGGTGCTGATTGGCGGAGCCTGAAGTAGCCACACCAGCTAGCCTGGCGGACGCGATTGCACACCCCGGGTGGAGTCCAGACGACCGCGCGCCGAGTCCATCCGCCTGCCACGCTCCGCAGCTCCGCCGTCCTACACCATGGCAGATCGCCGGGACCCAGCCAGCGACCAGATGAAGCAGTGGAAGGAGCAACGGGCCTTGCAGGTACCCTGTGTTCCCCGGAGCCCCGAGAGAACGTGGGCGGCGGAGAGTAACGGTGCAGGCTTCCCCTGGGTGGCCTGCGCTGGGGCTGCACTGCTGTCTGCTCTCGGGCGGCTTGCTTTCTGCCTCACGGACCATTCCATTCTGCCGGGAGGGAGTTGAGGCTGCAGGCCTGCTAGACTTGGCACCAGGGACGGGGTGGTTGGCTCCGCGTTTGGTGCTTGTGCCAGCTGGGAAATAGGTCACAGCTTGAGGGAGACTTGGAGCCGCCTGGGCAAAGAGGCAGAGAGCTGCAGCTGGGAGCCAGGAAGTGGGAGCCAGCCCCGGCTTTATGTTTTGAACTCTTACAGCTGCAAGCATTGGTGTTTGGGAGGTACCCGGGCCTGTGTCCCCAGCAGCATTCTTGGTAACATGCAGCACCAACAGCATGCAACGGTTAAGTAAAAGAATTTTCACACTCATTATTTCATTGGCAGGTAGGAACATCAGACCTGGCATTTTACAACTGGCAATGACATTAGACAGTAATTATTGCTTTTGATTCACAGAACTTTGAGTGCTTGAATATGCCATTTGAGCACCAAAGTGTACAAATTCCCATGAGCTAAGACCACACCCTGGAGAAGTTTAAAGCCAAGACTGAGAGACAAGTTGTGTAAACAGATGATTACCGTCTAGGTCGGACTGCGGACTAGCTGTGGAGTGGAGAGTAAGCGCTGGAGTTGGTTGCAGGACTCCCCAAAGCAGATGGCAACGTAACAGTGTCTTCAAAGATAATGAGGAGTTCAGTAGACTTGGTAGGGCATTCCTGGCCTGGCACCTTTGAGAGGTTGGAGTAGGTGATACTGCATGGTCCCGTGGCTTCTGGTTAGTATGGTGGGTGGGTTTGGGGGCGGATGTTCTCCTCCCTTGCTCCTTCTAACCAAGCCCAATGCCAAGTGCTCATGGACTCAGTCTGGTTAAATGCTGGTATTTTCCTCTGAGCTCTTGGTCCCATCCTCCTTCATGATTTACAGCTAGAGCCTTTCAGTGTTTGTTTGTTTGTTTGTTTGTCTTTCTTCCTGAGTTCTTCAATTGAGCCAGAGAGACCAGAGTCATAATCAAGGACATAGAGCAAGTTAGTGGTAGAGTCAGGGTTAGAACTGAGCTCCCTTAGAGCAGGACCTCTTGAGTACCCAGCGGTTGCTGAAGCCTGCTTCATGATGTCACAAATACTTGTGAACTGAGAAACACTGGGCAGCGTAGGGAGACTTTTACAAAATAAAATACACTTATTCGGAGAAGTGTCCTGTTTATTTTGAGGCCAGTTTGCCTCTTGCTTTGGGGAAATTGTTAAGTTGTTGGGCTCTCCTCTTTTCCATCCGTCTCAGTGCTCTGCGTATGTCGCCCATTGGTGGTGATATTGAAGTTTTCATTCTCAATTTGTCCTATTCCGAATAAACATTTCTAGGAGGGGAATCGCTCTACCTTCTAGAAGGAAAGTAACGTATGCTACGTAGCCTAGAAAAGTTGAAATACTCGACAACGAAAAGTATCAAGAATGCAGAAGTGCTGAAAAGAACTGCAGTACACACCTAAATATTCACTTTATGTGTTGTATGCCTAATTACCTTTTGTATAAGATTATCAGTCTCCCTATCCCTTCATTCATCCAGGAAATTGGTGTTTTTTTTTTTTTAAGCGTATCTCAACACTAGTATACTTTATACCTGAACACTACAGGGATGTAAATGCAGAGTGTGGCACCCTTGCACAGTTTTACAGTGATATTTGCATACGGTGAAACGTATAGATCTATGTGTTTGTTCAACAAGGTTTAACACACACACGAAATTGCATCCCGAGCCCTTAGCAAGGTACGCAGGGCCAGACTGAGAAGGTGGCTTGGCTGGAAAGTGCTCGCTGCGCAAGCAGGAGGATATGAGTGTGAATCACCACCATCCATGTAAATGCTGCCATGGGACTGTGTGCCTTGTAGTCCCAGTGTTCCTATGTGGACTTGTAGGACAGGCACAGGAGAACACCTAGAAGATCACGGCACAGTAGAAAACACACAGGCAAAGCAGGTGAGGGCTGATACCTGACCTTGTCCTCTGACTTTCACGCACATACTGTGTCATTCATGTGCCTGCCTACATTCACACAAATGAATGTGCATGCACACACACAGATTTAGAAAAACCAAACAAATACAAGGGGCTGTGCTTATAAACAAACAAACAAACAAACAACAAAAAAAAAAAAACCCAACTAAATACACAAGGTTACCATCATCCTGCCATTTCCCAAAAACTTTCAGTGTTGTCCCTGGGAAATCACTGTTCTGAAACTTTTAACTATTGATTTATGGAATTTTGTATAAGGCTCTTTGTTGTTGTCCAGCAAAAATGCTTTCCAGTTCCTCATGTCTTGCCGTGGATCAGCAGTTAGATCTTTCCACACCATGCAGTGCTTTGTCATATGATTAGAGCACTGTTTGCCTATATGATTGCTGGACACCTGGGTCATTTCCAGGTTTTGATTATTACCTATAAAGTTGATATGAAAATTCTTAAACCCCTAATTATCTGCATCCACACTTTGATTTTTTTTTTCCCTAGAAAATCCCTAGCTGAACATGCTGGCACACACCTGTGATCGCAGTACTAAGAAGGTAAAGGCAGGTGGATTACCTGTTTGAAGCGAGCCTGAGTTACATGGCAAGAATCCTGTCCTAATAAATAAGACAAAACACCAAAATACTTAGAATGTATTTACTGCATAAGGGCCAGTGACTGTTTAAGAAGCAAACAGCCCAGTCATCTTCCAAAATGGTTGTACCATCTTACACTTCCATCAACAGCACGGGTGCTCTGGTTCCCTTGCTTCCTACCAGCTTTTGGTTCTGCCAGACTTTTACCTAGTCATTGCTCTCTGTGGTTTTAATTTGCTTTGCAGTGGTGACCTCGAGATGCTGAGCATCCTTTCAGATGCCTGCTGACCATGGGTATCAGCTCTGGGGTAACCTGTTGGTATCTCTTTTGTCCTTTTAAAACTTGGCAGAGTTTGTCTTTTCACCATTGATTCATGGCCCTCATTTTCAGTTCAGTCCTGTGTGGGCTACGTGCTGTAATCAAGATGTCCAACATACAAAATGGCATAAACTTATCAGAAATTTCTTTCTTTTTTGTACAATGGTTTAGAGTTATTTGAGGTTGAAAGAACAGGGATTTTTTTCCCCCTCATAGTTACTGAAGGCCTCAGCTGAAGGAAGCTCCCGATTGGTTAGCACAAGGTTCTAAGTAAGTTCTTGAAGCAGAGGGCTGGAGAGATGGCCCAGTAGTTAAGAGCAATTGCTTCTCTAGCATAGGACCTGGGTTCCCAGCACCCACATGGTGGCTCAAATGGCCTGTAACTCCAGTTACTAGGGATCCGACACTCTTCTGGCCTCTAGGGACACTATACACATGGTGCACACACAGACATGTAGACAAGATATTCACATGCGCATACATATATGCATGTGAATATATAAAAATTCATATATAAACAAATTATAAATAAGTAACAACCCCCCCACGCCCCCAAAGTACTTGAGGCATCAGTACTTAGTCTCAGAAAGGTTAAGTGTATGGAGAGGGTAGGGTGTTTGGCAGGTTTAGGGATCGGGTTCCCTTCCATTCTGATTGCCTTAGCTGGAACTCTCTTATGGGCTAAGTGTAAGGGAAGTTGTGTCTAGGAAGTCACATTATTATGTTGTCTAAGATATACATTTCATATTTCCTGCAAAGCTATCCATCTATTTTCTCCTAATGTGATGATGAGTTAACAGACATAGTCTCTTTCTAAAGACTTAGTTTTATTTTTATGAGATTAAAATATCCTTCCTTTTCGTCTCACTGGGGCTGTAACTGTTGGAGCCATCAGCATTCTGCTATCTCCTCTCTCAAGAACCAGATGTTCAGTGCCAAGTTGAATGGGTCCTTCTTTGAAATCACAACCAGAGAGTTGATGACTGTGAGGGCAACTTACAAAATGGAGTCTTCTTGTGGGCAGATGTTGCTGACAAGTGAATTGGGAGCTTTGTGGACATTGCTTAATGAGCATTGAATCCGGTGTCTTCATAGGCATGACTTAGGACCACCTAAAAGACTCTCTTCCTCCCAAAATACATTAAAGGGACGATTCTGTGGTATCCTCAGAAGTTTGCGTGGAACTGAAATAGTTCTGTCACTCACTCACTGCTCAGAGATCATGGACTCCTCCTTTGGGATACTGGGTTTAATAAGTCACCTCTGATCACCTAAGAACCAGAGCGTCAGAGAGTCTTGCCCTTTGTTACTGGGTCTTAGGCTGCTTACCCTGTCAGTGAGCTTTCTCTGAAAGAATTTATCTTCTGAGGTTAATCCTGGTATTGAGCACGTTGCTGGCACACTGCCAATGGGAAGGGTGGGTGAAGGATGGCAAGGGAGTAACCGACTGAACTTTTTGTATAAATGAGCTTTCATGTCTCATGCAAGCAGGAGGGCTGGAACTGCTAAGTCATGG